TTCTGTAAAGCTGCAAAACAAACTAATAAGCTAAATAGCAAATGAACACTTTAAATAAGTTAAATATAATGGAAACACTGCGTAAAGTATGTGCCGACAACACAGATTCCAGGAAAAGACACTGAGATTCGGTTATATGTGAGCTTATTCATAAAGAACTTACCGAAAGTTCATGTGTAGGACTGAATTCCACATTAAATGGTTCTATCAGAAGGTGAGTCTAATAAAGCCTGAGAAAGTCAGGTATGGTGGCTCATACCTGTAATCCCAATACTTTGGGAGGCCAAGGCAGGAGGATGTCTTGAGCCCAGGAGTTCAAGACCAGCCTGGTCAATACAAGGAGACTCTCGATCTCTACAAAAAGTTTAAAAATTAGCCAGGCATGGTAGTGCATGACTGTAGTCCCAGCTACTTGGGAGGCTGTGGTGAGAGGATCCCTTAAACCTGGGAGTTCAAGTTCACAGTGAGCTGTGATCATGCCACTGCTCACCAGCCTAGTCAACAGAGCTAGACCTTGACTCAAAAAATAAAATAAAAGCCCTAGATGTTACAGACCTTCCTATTTTTAGCAATATGTGACAAAATAGATGATTGCCACTTAATACCAAAGTACATGGTCTAAGGGTAAGATTTTGCCAAGAATTTGTCAAGAGTTAAAATAAGAGCTGAAAAAAAAATTAATGGTCCTCCTTTGCAGATTATTGGGGAACATTCATTGGTTTGCTTTACTCGTATCCCCCAACATCCAAATGAACTTAATGAAAAATTTTCAGGGACCACTGTAAATAAGTACATTGTCAGTAAAATTTACCAATAACATTTATTGATTATAACTTAGAAAGGTGAAATCAAACACAGTTCACTAACGATGTTTCATAGGTATTATAATATGAATTCTAAAGAAGACGCCTGCCAGGGGCAGTAGCTCACGCCTGTAATCCCAGCACTTTGGGAGACCGAGGTGGGCAGGTCTTCTGAGGTCAGGAGTTCAAGACTAACCTGGCCAACATGGTGAAACCCCATCTCTACTAAAACTACAAAAATTGGCCAGGTATGGTGGTGTACTCCTATAATCCCCACATCTTGGGAGGCTGAGGCACAAGGACCACTTGAACTCGGGGGCGGAGGTTGCAGTGAGCGGAGATCACACCACTGCACTCCAGCCTGGGCAACCAAGTGAGACTCTGTCTCAAAAAAAAAAAAAAAAAACGTTTAGAACAATACATTTGACAAAAGCTTTATCATTATTTTAGGAGGTTTGACATGGAAAAAAAGTTTGAATCAAAAATCCATTTGCTTCATCACAAGACCTGTCGACTTCACATTTGTTAATGAAAGAAAAGGAGCTGTCACTAGATTTAAAGAATGATCCAATCATTAATTACATGTAAAAAGATCAGATTACCAAAATGTAGGTGAATGATGAGAAAAGTCAGTAGGGGCAAAAACAATAAATGCTTTTCTCCCATTTGCTACCACTTACTTGTGAAGTAGCTTCTTGGTGGTAGGTACCAAGAAAATAAAGAGGTCTTATTAAAGAGATGTCGCCAGGAATTGTGAGTAGCAATTTTAAGCATAAAATCTGACTTTAAAAAAGTATATTCATGAAAGCACACCGAATTCTTCATTAAAAATGTTAAAATATTTTATTTTGGAAGTTTTATAGAAATTTAATATTTATTATCTTTCCTTTCCCTTGGTCATCTTATGGTAATTATATAACATAAAACACAATAATTATTTTAGCCTAGGCCCATGTAAGATGTCTCTAAAATTTCTCAAATTTACCCCATTGCGCCAAATAGATATATTTACTTTTCTTTTTTTTTTTTTTTTTTTTTTTAGACAGAGTCTCACTCTGTCACTCAGGTTGGAGTACAATGGCATGATCTCAGCTCACTGCAACCTCCACCTTCCGGGTTCAAGCAATTCTCTTGCCTCAGCCTCCCAAATAGCTGGCACTACAACTATGCACCACCATGCCTGGCTAATTTTTATATTTTTTAGTAGAGATAGGGTTTCACCATGCTGGCAAGGCTGGTCTTGAACTCCTGACCTCAGGTGATCTGCCTGCATTGGCCTCCCAAAGTACTGAGATTACAGGTGTGAGCCACCTCACTCGGCTGAGATATACTTACTCTCTATGTGTGACATTGATAGGAAGTCTGAGAAGCCTGTGCATAGCTAGAGTGTCTAATATGGAATTATCAATATATGTAGTATATTTGATTGAGGTTCAAGAGCTACCATTATCCAAATATGGTGACAAATTTCAAAAGAACCAGAAAAAGTGTGATGGATTTACATGAGGTCCATCTTTACAAAATTGTATTGAAAAATAAAGAATTCGGCCAGGTGCAGTGGCTCATTCCTGTAATCCTAGCACTTTGTAAGGCTGAAACAGGTAGATCATCTGAGGTTGGGAGTTCAAGTCCAGCCTGACTAACATGGAGAAACCCTACTAAAAATACAAAATTAGCCAGCCATGGTAATGCATGCCTGTAATCCCAGCAAGTTGGGCGGCTGAGGCAGAACTGCTTGAACCAGGGAGGCATAGGTTGCAGTGAGCTGAGATTGCAACATTGCACCCCAACCGAGGCAACAAGAGCAAAGCTCCATCTCAAAAAATAAGGGAAGGAAGAGGGGAGAGGAAAGGGGAAGGGGGGAGGAGGGAGGGGAGGGGAGGAGGGAGGGGAAGGGAGGGGAGGGGAGGGAGGAGGGAGAAAGGAGGAGGGAGGGGAGGGAAGGGGAGGAAATGGAAGGATTCTACCACATTAAAAAGTTAAACCGGCCGGGCGCAGTGGCTCAAGCCTGTAATCCCAGCACTTTGGGAGGCCGAGGCGGGTGAATCACGAGGTCAAGAGATCGAGACCATCCTGGTCAACATGGTGAAACCCCGTCTCTACTAAAAGTGCAAAAAATTAGCTGGGCATGGTGGTGCGTGCCTGTAATCCCAGCTACTCAGGAGGCTGAGGCAGGAGAATTGCCTGAGCCCAGGAGGCGGAGGTTGCGGTGAGCCGAGATCGCGCCATTGCACTCCAGCCTGGGCAACAAGAGCGAAACTCCGTCTCAAAAAAAAAAAAAAAAAGTTAAACCACAAAACTGAAGATAAGCTAAAGAGTGATCAATCATAAATGATATACTTCAAGCTGATGCCATAACTGTAATTACATGGTTGAGGAAATATGGATAGTAAAAGCCTAATGATTATTTTATATACTAATCTGAGTTATTTCCTTTGATGGTTATATTGAGGAATTGGTGACTTTCCCTTTGTTCTCCTGCTTGCTTTGCTGTTTTCCCTAAATATGTCTGCTGAGATGAACTAAAGAGAACATTTTTCCATAAGTTTCTCTAAAAATCTACCAGATGGGATTTTCTAAAGAATCCAACAGGAAACACATTCTTCTAGGAAATAAAGTGGTCCCAAACCACTTTAATATGAATGATACCGGCCTCAAAGCTAACATTGAGAATGCACAGGTAAAACATCAAATAGCAGGCATCAAGACAGAATACTACAAGCTTTTCCTTTTTTTTTTTTTTTTTTTTTTTTTTTCTTTTTTGAGCCAGAGTCTTGCTCTGTCACCCAGGCTGGAGTGCAGTGATTTCAGCTCACTGCAGCCTCTGCTTCCCAGGCTCAAGCCATTCTCCTGCCTCAGCGCCCCCAACCCCCACCCTGAGTAGCTGAGATTACAGGCATCCGCCACCACACCTGGCTAATTTTTGTTTTTTTGTTTTGTTTTGTTTTGTTTGAGTTCTGTCACCAGGCTGGTGTGCAGTGGTGCAATCTCGCCTCACTGCAACCTCCACCTCCCAGGTTCAAGCAATTCTTCTGCCTCAGCCTCTTGAGTAGCTGGGACTGCAGGTGTGCGCCACTACGCCCAGCTAATTTTTGTATTTTTAGTAGAAAAGGGCTTTCACCATGTTGGCCAGGCTGCTCTCCAACTCTTAACCTCAAGTGATGCACCCACCTTTGCCTCCCGAAGTGCTGGGATTACAGGGGTGAGCCACCGTGCCCGGCCTACAGGCTATTTCCCCACAATAGGTTTGATCACTGTTATTACCTGGTTACACCGAATTTTCATTCCAGGAAGCACAGATGTGATATATTCACAGTAATAATGGTCAGCAGCAAATTTTTTATTTAGGGAAGAAAGGGTGAGAAAATAAAAAAGAAGGAATCTACCATGTAGGCTGTGATCATCTTAAATGCTCTAAGTAAGCCATATAGTAAATCTTCGAAGTATTAGAGATACATTAAAACATATTTGAAATGAAATTTCCAGCAATTAAGAATGCTTGGAACATGAAATTTTAAAAATAGCAGCAAAATTATTATTGCTATTGTTATTAACCCTTATACTATTTTAGAATAATAAAGGAAGTCATAGATGCTGTATCTCTAGGTCTCTATAAACCTTAATAAATATATAGTTTGTAGAAAACCTCATTGGAACGTCCCTTATATTCAATTAAAAGATAAATTAAAACCTCAGTCAGGATAGCAGCTTCTAAAGCGTCAAAAACACTTATTAAATTCTATACTCTTTGGTTATTTTCTTAAAATAATAAATGAATTCAGAAAAAAATAAATGAATTCAGCACATTGAAATCAGATACTTTGTATGTGAATTACCATAACAGTATTATTAAGTGTATGAAAAAGGTCTAGCATTATTTATAAACTGCACTGTTAACATAAGTTTGAATTATTATACAATTTAAAAAACCAAACATTTAGAAAAAGTATTAATGACATCATATGAACTTTACATTCAAAACCATGGATTATTACAACATATTTTTCAACCTGTCAGTAGAGGATCAAATGCAAAAAAAATTGCAGCAAATTTATCTAAACTAGCTTAAAAAATATAACATGGAGTTAAAACATTACAAATATTGTCTGTTGGGTTAGGTGGTAGTTATTTTAAACATTCAGAGCTACAAGGACTTTTATATAGTATAATAAAGACACATAGTTTTTTCTTTTTTTGTAATAATACAGACATATAGTAATTATAAATATGTTAAACAACTTTAACTTTTGTTAACAAAAATCCCTTTAAGTTATTTTTGGCATGGTGCCTGAGGCTCCATCAAAAACCCAGATGGAAAGCATTGCTTATTTACAGCTTCATAACACGTAGGCTCGAGTCTTCAGGTAGATTTCCAGTTAAAATGTAGGCTTGTTCATGTATTCTTCCAATGTCTGAAAGAGAACAATAAATTAGAACAATCTTCCCTTTAAATCACATCCTTTAGCAGACTGTGAAATCTGCATTTTTATTTATTTGCCATTGTTGAAAACAAGTTATCAAAAGGATACATGGATATAAAATCTTTGCATTCTAATCAAAGTTTCAGTATAATTTGTATACACGTCCATATGGCTGGAATTAAGTGACTTTCAACTGAGAAAAAGTTAAGTGTGATCATAAAATAAATGTCTGGTAAGAGTCGTGCTTGGCCAGCACAGTGCTCACACCTGTAATACCAGCACTTTGGGAGGCTGAGGTGGGTGTAGCACCTGAGGTCAGCCTGGCAAACATGGCAAAACCCCATCTCTACGAAAAAATACAAACATGAGCTGGGCGTAGTGGTGCGCTCCTGTAGTCCCAGCTACTCCGGAAGCTTGAACCGGGAGGCAGAGGTTGCAGTAAGCCAAGACTGCACCACTGCACTCCAGCCTGGGTGACAAAGTGAGATTCCATCTCAAAAAAAAAAAAAGAGAGAGAGAGAGAGAAATGCTAAAGCAAAGTTGCCAAGATTGCTAAAATGATCATGAGGACCAGGTACACGTATTAGGGAATTCTGAATTATATTTGTACAACGTATGTATTGTTACCTATGTTGTGCAAAACATCTTTATTATATGTATTGTCAAGACAAAAAAGATAAACAGGCTGGGTATGGTGGCTCATGCCTGTAATCCCAGCACTTTGGGAGGCCAAGGCAGGTGGATCACCTGAGGTCAGGAGTTCAAGACTAGCATGGCCAACATGGTGAAACCCGGTCTCTACTAAAAATACAAAAATTAGCTGGGTGTTGTGGCGGGGTCCTGTAATCTCAGCTACTCAGTAGGCTGAGGCAGGAGAATCACTTGAACCCAGGAGGTGGAGGTTGCAGTGAACTGACATTGCACAGTTACACTCCAGTCTGGGCAACAAGAGTGAAACTTTGTCTCAAAAGAAAAAAAAAAAAAAGATAAAGATAAACAGACTGAAATTTTTAGAAATTTCTTTACTTCTCTACCAAGTTCATAGAAAAAAATATATAATTTCTGCCATATGTTTCCAAAGGCATCTGTCCAATGTAAACAAATTATGTTTCTTTTTGACTTTTAAGTTCAAGGGTACATGTGCAGGTTTGTTATATAGGTAAACTTGCGTCTTGGGGATTTGTTATACAGATGATTTCATCACCCAGGTATTAAGCCTAGTATCCAGTAGTGATTTTTCCTGATCCTCTCCCTCCTCCCAACCTTCACCTTCTGATGGGCTCCAGTGTGTATTGTTCCCTTCTATGTATCCATGTATTCTCATCATTTAGTTCTCACTTGTAAGTGGGAACATGCGGCATTTGATTTTCTGTTCCTGGGTTAGTTTGCTAAGAATAATGGCTTCCAGCTCCATCCATGTCCCTGCAAAGGACATGATCTCATTCTTTTTATATTATCCATCAGTTACTAAGTCTGCTAAGGAATATTTTTTTTCAGCATTAAAAAAAAAAAAAAATGTTTGAACAGACTCACGAGTACAGGCAGTGTTCAAAGTTAACAGTGATGTTGCTGGTCCTACACCATACAAGACGGATGGGCCTTCTCTTGCACTCTCTCCTACTATAAACATATGTATTTGTGTCACACCAGAGCCCCAGGTTGAATCAATAAGAAAGCTCGAGAGAACAAAAAGTCAACCTGTCTCTTTCGTTTGAGTTACGATTTGCTCATTTAGCAATCCAAGTTCAACCTGTTCTTAAGTTGAAACCCCAGGGTATGTGATTCATATGAACCTGCCAGGAAGTCCACTAACTGATATGGGCTGAAGAGACCAAGGCTACTGGCCGAGCAAGATTGTTCAGGAGATAGCAGAGCTAGAAATCTGCCCTTATCTTAAGAGATTTTCTAACTGGTTTCCACCAGCTCTATCTAGAATTCCAGAGTTCCTCTGCTGAGAAATACTTGTGCTCAGTTATCTACGTTTACTCCATAAAGCTCTCACCTCCTAAATGGGCATTGGCTGAGACAGTCCCGTACCCCTCTCTACCCTTCTATAGATGCTGCCCCTGTCTTTTAACTTAGCAGAGGGATCACACAGGCCATTGGCCCATGCTGGTTTTGTGGAATCTATAGTTTATACCATTTAAGTGGGAATACAAAGTTACAAATACATAATCAGATATAAAGTATATTTGGAATGAGAAAAGAAATGACCGCAGATTATGAACTTTGAAGATGACAGACACCACAAAATAAAAATCAGTTGCATGTTATTTTCATTAATTAATTGCTTGACACTCCTCTAGCATATATTGCATGTATGGCTACTCACTTTTTGCAGTTAAAATATCTTACTTTTGGGCTGGGCGTGGTGGCTTACGCCTGTAATCCCAGCACTTTGGGAGGCCGAGGCGGGTGGATCACGAGATCAAGAGATCGAGACCATCCTGGTCAACATGGTGTAACTCCATCTCTACTAAAAATACAAAAAATCAGCTGGGCATGGTAGCACGTGCCTGTAATTCCAGCTACTCGGGAGGCTGAGGCAGGAGAATTGCCCAAACCCAGGAGGCAGAGGTTGTGGTGAGCCGAGATCGTGCCATTGCACTCCAGCCTGGGTAACAAGAGCAAAAATTCTGTTTAAAAAAAAAAAAAAAAAAAATCTTACTTTTGCAATGTTGACAAAAACCCATGACCAAACGAGGGCATTGCTAGGCCCTTCCTGCAGCCTTGAGAGGGGCCTGGAGTTGACACTTTTCCTGTCTTTGTGGTTCAGTGGCCTCTAGTCATTGGCACTGCTCACACCACCAGATGACTCAGTCTGCTAAAAACCACACTGGCTGCCTTGTGTGAGCTGAGCCAGGTTGTTACTCAAGCTGTGTAAACCAATAAGGTAAAAGTTGGTATTTTCTTGAGCTTGCCACTTTAAAGGTTTGGGGCAGACTTTCAGAGCTGGCAGAACCTTAGTTGCCCTCATATTCGCAAGACAGAGACTGGAGTCTGTATCTTGGGACCTCTTCTGGTTACATCTAGCTCTGTGGTGTTTCTTATGCATATAGCTCAGTGCATGCTGTGACTTCCTATTGCATTGTGGTTTGGCTTAGCTGTTAAAACGGTTTTTACTCTTTTAAGGATGACGGTGTTGGGCGTATCTAGCAGTTCCACACGCATCCAGACGGGGGCGCATGGTATCCTATTGCTCCTGAGATACAATCTGACCCTTCTTTTTTGGAGACAGGGTCTCACTCTGTCACCCAGGCTGGAGTGCAGTGGTGCGATTACCACTCACTGCACCCTCGCCTCTTGGGCTCAAGTGAATCCTTTCACTTTAGCCTTCCAAGTAGCTGAAATTACAGGTGCACACCACCACGCCTGCTAATTTTATTACCTTTTGTAGAGACGAGGTTCTCACTATGTTACCTGGTCTCAAAACTCCTGGGCTCATACAGTCCCTCCATGTCAGCCCTTCTGAGTAGCTGGGATTACAGGTGCACACCACACCTGGCTAATTTTATCCTTTTTTTTTTTTTTTTTTTGGAAAGACAAGGTTCTCACTATGTTGCCCAGGCTGATCTCAAACCCTTAGACTTAAGCAATCTTCTGCCTGAGCCTCCTTAGGTGCTGGGAATACAGGCATGAGCCGCTGCAGCTGGCCCTGAGCTTCCCTTCTTGGCAGGCTGTCAGTCTGAGTAACACGTATAGTTTGTCCCTGCCACATACTGCAAGTTCTGCAGTTAATGGCCACTAACTCCCTTGAGAGTTTCGTTTCTTTTTTATTTTTGTTTTTGTTTTTGAGGTAGAGTCTCACGCTGTCACCCAGGCTGGAGTGCACTGTCACCATCTCGGCTCACTGCAACCTCTGCCTTCCGGGTTCAAGCAATCCTCCGGCCTCAGCCTCTCGAGTAGCTGGGATTACAGATCTTCATCATCACACCTGGCTAATATTTGTATTTTTAGTAGGGATGGGGTTTCGCCATGTAAGCTAGGCTCGTCTCGAACTTCTGACCTCAAGTGATCCTCCCGTCTCGGCCTCCCAAAGTGCTGGGATTACAGACATGAGCCACCACGCTTGGCCAGAGAGTTTTATTTTCCTCACAATAACTTTGTGCTATTGTCCATATTATTATTACCACCAAATAAGTATCCCCAACCGAGTAAACAGTTCCTTTCTTTTCCTCTTATCAACATCTAGCCACTGCACACTCAGAAAAAGCTTTGAGCATTTGGAGATTGAGACTATTTGTCTTCTTACTAAATATTCAGGCAGGTGCCGCCTTTTTTTTTTTAGACGGAGTCTTGCTCTGTCACCAGGCTGGAGTGCAGTGAATCAATCTCGGCTCACTACAACCTCCACCTCCTGGGTTCAAGTGATTCTTCCACCTCAGCCTCCCGAGTAGCTGGGACCACAGGCGCATGGCACCACGCCCAGCTAATTTTTGTATTTTTAGTGGAGACAGGGTTTCACTATGTTGGCCAGGATGGTCTCGATCTCTTGACCTCGTGATCCACCCGCCTCAGCCTCCCAAAAGGTGCAGCTTTTTTTTTTTTTAGGCGGAGTTTCACTCTTGTTACCCAGGCTGGAGTGCAATGGCACGATCTCAGCTCATGGCAACCTCTGTTTCCTGGGTTCAGGCAATTCTCCTGCCTCAGCCTCCTGAGTAGCTGGGATTACAGGCACGTGCCACCACGCCCTGCAAATTTTTTGTATTTTTAGTAGAGACGGGGTTTCACCATGTTGACCAGGATGGTCTCGATCTCTTGACCTCGTGATCCACCCGCCTCGGCCTCCCAAAGTGCTGGGATTACAGGCTTGAGCCACCGCGCCCGGCCGAGGTGCAGCTTTTTAAAAGTTATTACTGTTCTAAGAAATTGTTATTAAGTAGGAGTTAGAGAAAAGTCTTAAAACCTATTTAAGGTTGACAGTTGTTCTCACAGCTAAAGCAATGTCACAAAGGCCTCCCTTAACCTTCAGTAACTACAAATATATGATTAGGTCCAAAGGACAGAAAAAAAAAAAAAAAAAAAGCAGTAATTGTTTTCCTTGATGCAAGTATATTACTGGCTCTTATCCAGTTTAAACTTCTTAAGCAGGCAAGATATACAAGTCCATTTTTCAACAAGCTCCCCAAAATATTCATTGACTTTACTGAATACCGGAGCTCAAGAGAACGCTAATAACACTCTCTGTATTTGGCAAGTGTTGTTAGTGCAACAGAAGAAATTGAGAGGGCAGCCATGACGTTGCCTGCTCACCCAAATAGCGACACTGGGGTTAAGTGCAAGGTCCCCTGAGACCGACCCATCAAGCCCCTCCACTCAATCGCCAGGAACATGAATTGCCAACTGGTGTTTAATTGTGAAAGAGCTCACTCTTGAAATACCTACTTCCTAGATTTAAATGGAACTAGCAACACCAGACTTATAAAAACCTTCTTTTTTTTTTTTTTTTTTTTTTTTTTGAGGTGCAGTTTTGCTCTTGTTGCCCAGGCTGGAGTGCAATGGAGCAATCTCGACTCACTGCAACCTCCGCCTCCTGAGTTGAAATGATTGTCCGGCCTCAGTCTCCTTGAATAGCTGGGATTACAGGCGCCCGCCACCATGCCCAGCTAATTTCTGTATTTTTTTTTTTTTAGTAGAGACGGGGTTTCACCATGTTGGCCAGGCTGGTCTCAAACTACTGACCTCATGATCTGCCCGCCTCGGCCTCCCAAAGTGCTGGGATTACAGGCATGATCCACTGCGCCCACCCCACAACCTTTTTAAAACTGTTTCCTGGTTTAAGAGGATTTCAAATTAACCCAGGTGTGTCTTGGTCCCCAATTCAGTTTTAATTACTAAAGTGCCAAAGACCCTGATAAAAGTCTGTTTCTCTTGTAAGGAGATTGCACAGTCAGGATCCTGACGTTAGAATTCTAAAAAACTTCCTCCCCTTCTGCCTGCCCCCAACCCCCAGTATACTTTATAAAACACTGTTTTGTGAAATTTCCAAACCACTGATTTCTCAAATACTTTGTAAAGTTTTCTCCCTGTGGCATTTGGAGACAGCCAAATCAACATCAGAGAGTTTAAACGCATTTTTTGAGGTGAGACTCCTCTGGTAATGAATGCATTGGCCTGCTGATAGGCACACGCAGCTGCTTATGGCACCCACTCAAATAGACATCTTCCTTCACATCCATTCACCAGAGGACTGATTGGCTGGGTGGAAGCAAGCAATCAGCCTAAAGACGCGCCAAAACAGCTGCTGGGAATTCACACTTAATGGTGTTTTGTTAACCTAATCACCCTCTTCCACACAGCAGAAAAAAATAGCTTTAATGCCAGTTTTATTTATTTATTATCTTTTTTATTTTTCTTTATTTTTGAGATGGAGTGTCGAGGCTCTCTCTGTCACCCAGGTGGTGCAGTGGTGCTATCTCAGCTCACTGCAACCTCCGCCTCCTGGGTTCAAGTGGTTCTCCTGCCTCAGCCTCCCAAGTAGCTGGGATTACAGGTGTCCGCCACCACGCCTGGCTAATTGTCTTTTTCTTTTAGTAGAGACAGGGCTTCACCATGTTGGCCAGGTCTCTAACTCCTGGCCTCAAGTGAGCCGCCTGCCTCAGCCTCCCAAAGTGCTGAGATTATAGGAGTGAGCCACTGTGTCTGGCCAAATGCCACTTTAAAAAAAAAAAAAAAAAGTACTTTATAAGCTCTGGATCCTCTTGACCTACTGATTCGAAAATAGGAAGGTGGGAAGACCCACTGAGACAGTGAGAAGAAGGATCTAGAGGTGGAGGAGCTGGGATGAAACTCAGGCCCTCAGAGCATCTCATCTGGGAGGGCAGAGGTCAGTGGGGTGAAGTGCTCTTTCTCACAGTGTCTTGGGAAGGATGGAGGGGCTTAATCGGTAAATACCCTGATGAGGTATGACGCAAATCTGTGCTGCTTCTAAAAGATCATTCCCACTTTATTTTATATAGAAATCCCAGAGTCCAGAGCAATACCAAATGGATGTCATTTATACCTTGGCAAGCAAGCCACGGCTGTTCCCAATTCATTTATGCAAACAGGAGCACACGTACAGCCTTCTCAAAAGGTGTAAGAAATTTTAATTACAATGATAAATACCATACTCAGTAATAAAGTTTTAACATCCCTGGCAAACAAAAACACAATGTACTGGTAGTCTCCTTTCCCAGGGCAGCACAGGTATTTTAATGAGTCTTTTTTATACATCTCATAAAATTATTCTTGAAAAGAATAGAACTAAGTGTTTGATACCTTTTTGGCGGTGAAGTATTCTCACACTCCAAAACTCAGCCAAACGTGAAGAGCAAAGACTCTTAAGCCCAGTTACCTGGGTTCAATCTCTATACCACACTTCCTAGCAATGTAAAATTGAGCAAGTCAGTTAACCTCTTAGTGTCTCAGTTTACTCATCTGTAAAGTGGGGGTAACAATACCACCTACCTTTTTGAATTGCTGTGAGAATTAAATAAGCTAATTCATAGTTTAGAAACTGTACCCAGCACAAAGTGCCCGGTAAGTCTTGGTTATTATTATAATTATTAACACTATCATCATCATCGTCATCATCTTTTTCCCGTGGTTTGGGAAACTGTACTGACCTCCTGTAACATATCAGAGTCTTCAATGGCTTTGACAGCAATTTTCTTGGATGTTTCCTGAATTTCTCCACCTATTATAAACTCATCCAGGATGAAATAAGCCTTTTCAAAATTGAAGATGATATCCAGCTCACAGACCTGGTAGGACAAAAACAAATGTTTTCATAACCTTGCAGTTGTATCACGGGAAATATCTGCCCGAATCTCGAGCTTTTTTAGCTTGCACTCATGTGGCATACCAAAAATAAAAATATCAGATGGCATTTTAAGGACAGGAAAAAAAAAAAGAATGGGGAATGCCAGGCCTTTAATAAAAGAAAAGCCACAGTCTATTAAAGCAAAGCATGTACTTAGATAATAATGTTTTGCGTTGCAACAGGAAATTTGAGACCCGGTAAGGGAATGAGGCCACTCGGCTCTTCTTTCCATCTGCACCGAGAAAACTGAGCCCCAGCTGCATTCCAGGCGGGAGGGCAGAGCTTCATTTCTCCTGCTCTCTGCTCTGCACATCTTGGCTTCTAGCTTTAGAACGCTCTCAGAAACTCACTCTTCAGAGGAAAATGAGCTCAACTGTGCTAATTTTTCTCAAAATTATGTCACGGCCAGTGGTTCTCAAAGTCATTCCAAAGGCAAATTAAAACACATAGATGCTGGGCCCCAGCCCCGGAATTTATGACTCAGGAGGTCTAGATAAGAACTGAGAATCTGCACTTTTAACAGGCTCCCAGGAGATTCTGAGGCCTCTGGCCTAGGGACTTCACATCCAGAACCCCTGGCACAGACCAAAGCAGAGTCTGATAGATTCTGGTGTTTATTTAAAGTGTAGCAAGTATGGCAAGATCTCTCCCATCATCCCAATAAGGGTCATTTCCAATACTCACACATTCTCCTTGCTGTCTTCCTTTCTACTTGTTCCTGTACTCACTGACACCTTCTCTTTCCATACCATACCCCACCCACCCAACTGAAGCTGTTCTCTTGAAACTCTGCTCATTGAAAGTCTCCAGACCTCCCCAACATTTACCTCTCAGCAGCATGTGGTACTCTCCACCATCTCTGATCCTTGAAAATCTCCCTTGCTCTCCTGATTTTGGCAATACTGCTTAACGCCTCTTTTTCTCCTCTATCTCTGAGCATTCCTTCTCAGACTCCTTGCATAGTTTATCTCCCTCCTACCCTGCATTTGTTTAAGAAGCATTTTGGCGTGCCTAGCACATATCAATCAACAGAACAGGCAAACATCTCTGCTGCATGTTGTTTATATTCTAACCATCCATCTTCTCCTTGGATTTTCATGTTCCTCAAGAAAGCCTTTTCTCTTTGCAAAATGCATATTCTCCTGGACAAACTCACTGACTTTCTACTGCTGTGTCTAGCATGCAGGTAGCTCAACAAACCTAGATGATTGGCCCTGATCTCCCTCTGGGCCACTAGTCCAATATTTTCACCCACTAACTAGACACCTTTACATGGCTATTCCTCAATCCATGTCACCATGTCCCAAACTGATACCAAGATTACTCTTTTTCCTTTAGTACCTTTTTTGCTTAGTAGTTGTAACCTCTTTCCAATTGCTCCATCTCATTCATTCTAGAGTTCAACCAACTTACTTTCCCTTCCCCCCTTATTCCTCTCCCTCCCTCGATCTCACCCCTCTGGATTTGATCATCAGTTCCTACTGATTCTGTTGTCTAAATAAATCCCTACCCTTCTTCGCTTCTCTGCTTTCACAGCTGCTGCTCAGACTTGCAACACGTCTCAGTCAGGCCAATGACCTTCCAGGTGGCGGCTGTTCCTGCTCAAGGCCATTGACTACTAATACTTTGCTAAAATGCTGATCTTGGCCAGGTGTGTGGTTCATGACTGCAATGCCAGCACTTTGGAAGGCGGAGGCAAGTGGACCACCTGATATTAGGAGTTTGAGACCAGTCTGGCCAACATGATGAAACCCCATCCCTACTAAAACTATAAAAAATTAGCTGGGCGTGGTGGCGGGCGCCTGTAATCCCAGCTACTTGGGAGGCTGAGACAGGAGAATTGCTCAGACCCAGAAGGCAGAGGTTGCAGTGAGCAGAGATCATGTCATAGCACTCCAGCGTACGTGACAGAGTGAGACTGTCAAAAAAAATGCTGATGTTATGCCTCTCTTGTGTAAGGTCTTATGTTCAGGACAAAGGCATATAGGAATCTCTACCAGCCTAGGCCCTGTTGTCTGATTTCCTGCACCAGTGCTCAGCCATGCATCTGACACACATGCCACAAACTCACAATGTCACGGTGGGTTTTTTGTGCCTTTGCCCTTTGCACATTCCAACAATTCTAGGATCACGTCTTCAAATGTCCTTTTCTTTATTCTCCTGCTGGCAAATCAAACTCATTTTTTTCAAGGCCAAATTCAAAAGTTAGGCACATGGTAATTCCCCACATCCCCTTTTCCTCATTCAGATTTCACACCACTTCCTGTGGGTTCTCACAGACATCTTCCGTGCACTAGTTTATGCTTATTGATTACTAACCACTCCCCCGTATGGTGAGTTCAGGGTAGAAACTTTGTCTTCATCATCTTTATATCCCCGGTTTCTGGCACATTGTAAGACACAAAAATATGCTTGCAAGATAAATGAATGAGGAAGATTAAATAGAGGCCTTGTTAGGGCACAGTGGCTCACGCCTGTAATTCCAGCACTTTGGGACGCTGAGGCGGGTGGATCACCTGAGATTAGGAGTTTGAGACAACATGGTGAAATCCCATCTCCACTGAAAATACAAAAATTAGCTGGGCATGGTGGTGCACGCCTGTAATCACAGCTACTCAGGAGGCTGAGGCAGGAGAATTGCTTGAATCCAGGAGGCAGAGGTCGTAGTGAGCCAAGACTGTGCCAGTGTACTCCAGCCTGGGTGACAGAGCAACACTCCATCTCAAAAATAAATAAATATAGGCCTTGTTTCTAATATGCTAGAGATTAATGGCATCCTAGATAAAATTCTATGGTTGTACTGAATGCTATAACTTTGCATGAAATAGATGTCAATATTTTAGCAAATTCCTCCATATATTTACAAGTTAGGTCAATAAACAAGCAGACTCCACAGAGAACATGGTTTAAGTAGACAGAGCCAAATGAATCCAACTTCCACACAGAATTTCCATGTGCCATACTGGGGTATATCATAGTTTATTTAAGCAGTTCCTTTATAGATATGGGCAGACATTGGGTTGTTTCCAATTTTTATTCTAAATGATGCTGCCATAATTTTTGTTGTCCATCTATAGCATTGCATGCTAATTTGAGGATAGCATAGGAATAAATTCCTTGGAGAATTGTTGGGTCAAAGGATTTGTACATTTAAAATTAATAAATACTAAAATTTGGTCCTCCAAAATACGCTATAAAACTTAAAAATTTCACTAACGGTAAGAGTAATGACCTACTTATCTATACCATCTCCAGCAATGGATAGTCTCTAAATTTTCAGATGAACATTAATTGAATTTGCATTTCCCTGCTTATTAGTGAGACTGTACATCTTACTATATGTGCACTGGCCATTTCCATTTCTTGCCTTGTCTCTAAATTGCTTCTTAAAGACTTTGCTTTTCTCTATTGTAATATTGGTCTTAGAAATTTGAATAACTTTCTGTATCACAGATACTATCCGCTTTCCCTGCGGCTGTATATGTTGCAAGTATTTTCTATGTAGAAGCTGAAAAGAATGAGGTAGATTTCATGCACAAATATGGCAAGAGCTCTAAGACTTGTAAGGGGGAGAAAAAAGAAAGTTGCAGAATAATATGTAGAATGCAATCCCATTTTTAAAAACTGTGTATCTAGAGGGCTATGTAAAAATTTGCATCATTCTTGCAGTTTTAAACAATAGAAAGAAACAACAAGAAATCACAATAGATCAGACATCCATGTACGTGAAAGAAGGTATGAGAAGAAAGCAGTTACCAGAGGTCAGAAAAGGCAGAAGTCAGGAGTTGCAATAGCAAGCTGAGGAACGTCAGAGTTCAAGGCGTAGACCAGGAATCCAAGACAGACAGGAGCCTCATTAGGAGAAACCAGCAATTAACATCCTGCAAAGTAAACCTGACAAATACTAATGAAAATTCTCTAGGAACTTCTTATATCCCACTTTGACACAACGCCAGGTCTGGGTCCTCTAGCAGCCATGGGGTAATTGATTTACTGTACTTGTTTCAGGGGATAAGGGTAAGGTAAGGTGGTACGCAGAATTACAGACACAATACACACACACACACACACACACACACACACACACACACCCCTTAGTTTACAGTTACTATCTTTAGATCATAAGAGAAATGAATATGGAAGTTCCGTAGGCATCATAGAGAATGTTACAACTGAGCAACCATTTCACATACAGCCACTTGAAAGTGCTACCCTACGGTTATTCTTGGAGTCTACTGCCATCTGAGAATGAGAGAAAACATCCAGGAAGACCTCAGACCAAATCAGGTATTTTGTTTTTTGTGGTTTTTTTTTTTTTTTTTTGAGACAGAGTCTCATTCTGCCGCCCTGGCTGGAGTGCAGTGAAGCCATCTCAGCTCACTGCCTCCTGGATTCAAGCAATTCCTCTGCCTCAGCCTCCTGAGTAGCTGAGATTACAGGCATGTGCCACCATGGCTGGCTAATTGTGTGTGTGTGGCGGGTGTGTGTGTGTGTGTGTGTGTGTGTGTGTGTGTGTGTTTAGTAGAGATGGGGTTTCACCCTGTTGGCCAGACTGGTCTTGAACTCCTGACCTTAAGTGATCCCCCTGCCTTGGCCTCCCAAAGAGCTGAGATTACAGGCATGAGCCATTGTTCCCAGTCCCAGTTCAGATTTCCAAAGCTACTGCCTAATTACTCGTGCCTGTAATTCCAGCACTTTGGGATGCCAAGGCAGGCTAATCACTCGAGGTCAAGAATTTCAGACCAGACTGGCCAACATGGTGAAACCCTGTCTCTACTAAAACTACAAAAGATTAGCCAGGCATGGTGGCACATGCCTGTAATCCCAGCTACTCGAGAGGCTGAGGCAGGAGAATTGCTTGAACCTAGAAAGCAGAGGTTGCAGTGAGGCAAGATCATGTGACTGCACTCCAGCCTGGGTGACGAAGTAAGACTCCATCTCAGGAGAAAGAAACAAAATAAAATAAAGTAAGATAAATTCCACCTTGAGGTCATCCCAACACAACAAAAATATGTCACCGATGCTCCAGTGACCCCACTCTTTCGAATTATGCAAATAGCCCTGGCTTCTTCCTCCATCACCATGTTAATAAACACATAAGCCTCTTTATTTTCTAGTGTATCTAGATTCTGAATAAAGCTTTAAAAAGATAGGAACTATCATTTAACTTTATCTTCAACATCCTAGCCTTGTGCTTTACTGCAATTTGGCTTGAGGTTCTTCTCTAACAGCAGAATTCACGGTGCAGTGAGATTATTTCTGGCATTTCCCCAACTAAATCCTTTTGGACAGACTCTAAGAGGCACCTGTCCTTATTAAATTATGCTCTAAAGTAAATACAAAAAGTTTCAAGTTACATGCAATATATGCTTCAAATAATAAGAAACTATATAAGTACCATAAAGCTATATATAAAATAATAATTATAATGCAATCTATACTACATAGCAATGAACAGTTTATTAAGTATCACTCTCTCTTCACCCCTTCTAGCAGACCCATCAGGTTAGCAGAGTAAACACTTCTCTTAACCTTTTTGAGGGTCATTTTTCTCATCTGTTAAACAGAGACACATGACAGGCCCCAAATCCTTGATCTGGTGAGTGAATGAGCCTGTACCAGCATCTGGGGGATTCATGGTGCTCTTCACCTGACAGCAAAAAACAAACAAAAAACTCCCTCCACCAAGTTCAAAAGCCCTCTGAGACATCAACATCCACACATACTGAGGGCACCAGTAAAAATTCACACTACGGTCTATAATGCAGAAATATGGCAGGTATCTAAATCCTTAGACTATTATGTGGCATGAGACTCTAAGGCATTTCCTCTGAGCCTCTATAAATTGGGGTTGATGCTACTTACTGAAGATCGGAAGATTAACTAGTTAATCCTTGTAAATCTCCTTGGAATTAAAAAGTGCTAAAAAATACATAAATTAGTAGCCAGAGATTTTGATCCATCTGTCTTCAGCAGATAATATTTTCCAGTGTTATACGAGAGGCTCAGTACCAAGATTTTCCCTGGATAATATTATATAAGGGCAGAATTCAAGGAAAGCTTTAGTATTAATACAGAAGGAAAAGAAAACCAAAGAGAAATATTTTATTGCTGAGATGATGTCAATGAGAATCAGGATTGGAAGTCTTTGCTCATCACTGTTAATTAATAAGAACTGAACATCTACTGGGCATATAGCCTTGAATTGCTCTTAGCTGTTCTTAGCTTAATGAAAGATTCATTGAATTTTTTAATAAATTAAATTTGGGTACATGACAAAGACAGAACTTCCAAAGGTATACCAAAATAGAATGGAAAATTAATGTTAGAGAAATGGAAATTCATTTTGATGCTCTTTGTAATTTAATTGGGCTTAGTGTTGGTGAAGGTTACTCAAGTTCTCTTGAGAAGCAGAATGCCCTGAGACATCTGGTTGAAATTTGGTCAGATAGATTGAGATCAAAATCCAGCCCCAATTCACATTATCAGAGTTGGTTTAATCTAGGAAAATGCAACAGGTCAAACCAGAGTTCAGAAATGAGAAAGGGAAGGCAGGTTACGGGAATGCCCAGACCTCAGGAAAACTTCTTCAGGCTCTTACACAAGGTCAAATCTGTAGTTTATTTCAAAGTAAAGTACAAAAATGTGAGGATTAATTTGAATAGTAGGAAGCATTAAATTAAATAATATGTTTGAAAATATGCTATTATACATTTGCAAATTTCTCCTTTAAAAAAATGAAAATAAACTTGGTACACCAAGAAGAGAAAGAAAACATGGTCTAGTTGTCTTATTGCTGTTATATACTGACCAACAACCTGAAATCCCTGAAGCAACATTTTAGGTTTTAAAACATCATTTCCAAAGGGGAAAAAAGGAAGGGAGGAAAAATTCTTTTAGAAATCTTTCCAGTGTTCATGCTTATGAAAAGTGTTGCAACAAATCTGATAAAACTCGTTCAATACTGCAAATACTGCTCATTCCGTTAAAGAGAGTAACAGAAAAACTCTACTGGAGGCAAATTATCCTAACACTTAACACACATCTTCAGTGAGTAAGGGAATAGGGAAGAGGGTGTTACTGAGAAGAAAACATTTTCCAAAATCCAGTGATTTATTTCTTGAGACTGTGAAATTGATTAAATGTGTTGGAAGATTTGCTATCAAATCTGGCCCAGTGCTGATTACGGGTTAAGTGGCAAGGGGATAAAATGAGTCACAAGGTGTGGTCTCAAGAGACTAGCAATTTGGTGGTCAAGTAAATCTGGTTCCAGTTAGACACACTCCAAAGTCATTCCTTGTTGCTGAAGAACTGTCAGGTATAAAAAACGGGACATGTAGGCTGGACATGGTGGCTCACATCTATAATCCCAGCACTTTGGGAGGCCAAGGCAGGCAGATCACCTGAGGTCAGGAGTTCAAGACTAGCCTGGCCAACATGGTAAAATGCTATCTCTACTAAAAACATAAAAATTAGCTGGGTGTGGTGGTGGACAACTGTAATCCTAGCTACTCAGGAGGCTGAGGCAGGAGAATCACTTGAACTCAGTAGGTGGAGGTTGCAGTGAGCAGAGATTGTGCCATTGCACTCTAGTCTGGGAAACAAGAGCAAAACTCCATCTCAATAAATAAATAAAAAGGGAAATGCAACAAGCCTAGAGGAGTGATCAGGGATCCATGCTTTGAAAGGTTAAACTCCAGGCTAGGGGCTTTGATTTTATTCACTGCACATGATGCCAAGTGGCTGTGAAGGAATGCCACACTTAGATTTGGTTTTATTTAAGGAAGATGGTAACTAATAGGGCAAGAGGGCAAACAGAGAAAAGTTCAGAGGCATAAAAATCCAGATAGGATGTTTAAGAGAGAAGCAAAATTAAAATCCCAAGTGAACCTATATTAGTGAGAGTGGAAAGAAGGGAATGAATGTCAGCCCAATTTGAATAGAGGCAGATTCTGGTAAGGCACAGAAAAAGACAAAAGCAGCGGCATCCTTTCACACTGAAGGATCCTGGGACATAAAAAATTCCAGTCACACAACCAAATGGGTTTTCAGAAAATGTGTTTGATTCTGGACCATGAGAAGCCCAGTGAAGACTGTCACCAACAAGAGTCACTTAGTAAGGGATTTCCAGGACGAGAGTCAGTACACACAGAGTTAGGAAGAGATGAGAGCATTTAGGGATGGGTGGAGGAAGGGAGCTGAGTGGAAGAAACCAAGGAGGGGCCTTCAGAAATAACAGGACAAGAGTCAGCAGAAATCAGTGTCATGGCAAAATCAAGAGGGGCCAATTTAAAGAAAGCTTCATGGTGAGCAAGGGTCCAGTGCTGTAGTGAGAGGCAGGCGAAAGCAGGTGAAGACTTAAGAGGAATCGCTGGTGTAAACCCACGGGAGGGTTCCAAGGTAACTTGCTGATTTCCTTGGAGAGTAAAGATGGACCCATGCTGTAGGCACTGCGTAGTGAATGGGTTCTGAGGACTGGAACACCTGGTATAGTATATCACTTGGCAGAAAATGCAAAAAGATTATTGAACAGCAATGTGAAGGAAAAGAATTCGGGTTTTTTGTTTGTTGCTATTTTTCTTATGTATAAATAATTAAGAATACTTATAGCTTAGGGGGAAAAAAAAAGCAGAGAAAGAATAAAAAGCCAAAACAGAAAAGAGATGACAAAGCCAATGAAGAATAAGGGAGAGAATATCAAGAAATCCTTTATAGTTACCTTCTGGTTCATTGAAATAAGGTCTCTGGTGTATTTGTGGTAAGATAAAGATACATCCATCTCTTGAAAGCTTTGGGTGGCCGAGCACAGTAGCTCATGCCTATAACCTAGTTCTTTGGAATGCTGAGGTGGGAGAATTGCTTCAGGTCAAGAGTTCAAGACCAACCTTGTCAACATAGTGGGACTCCATCTCTATTTAGAAAGAATCACAGGTAGGGAGAAAGGTCTTGTATGCTAATCTTAGGGGGACTAAGGTGATCTTTGATTTGAGTTCGATTCATATTTTAGACGTGAGGGAGAGAAGGGGTAACAGACTGAAGTAAGAGCTGAGATGACGATTGTTACTAATCCTAACCAACAAGCACACACTTACATTTCCAAAATATTTGTCCAGCAGCTCCACGTAACGATGCACAATCTCTAGCGTCAAGAGCTCATTGTCCTGATTTTCTACTGCACAGCAAAAATATAAACTAGCATACCTTGAAATGAAAAATAACAAAAGCGAAATATGATGATACATTAAGCAACCTGAAGACAGTTTTTTTCCCATGAATATGCAAAGTCACCTCCTCCCCGCTGAGCCTCTCCCCATCAAAGGATGAAATCATTATTCACCGCCCTCAGTAGCCTCCTGAAATATAAATCGGAATATATAAAAATGCTGTGGGGGTTGGATTACTTCTGTTAATTACACATGAAAGGCTCTCAACAAAATTTTACCTTGAAGAGCTATTATCAGGAGGACAGTGTCCTTTGGCCCATGGTAATCAGGGTATCTTTTCACACCCCTCTCCAGCTTGTCAATTGTTTTTTATAAAACAGAAAGCCCTGACCAGTGAGTGCTCTCAGGAGTCCACGCTCCCCACCCTCCCGCTTATGAATGTGCTTCAGTCATTCTGTGTGTGCCTCCCCTCCTCAAATTGTCAAACTCCAATCTTGGGCCCAGCAGAAGGAGCTTTGCAGGCACTTGCTGGTAATTTAATCCATTAAATATCAGTCTGCAGAGGTTACCTCTGTTTTTCCCAATGAGATTTATAAACACCCTTTGCAAGAGCCTCTCTAATGTGCATTTTCCTTCCAGGAGCTGCAGTAGGATATTGGATGCAGGGTCTGGTCAGCTGTGGTCCGTTCCTGGCTTAGGCATCAATTACCTGGGTCTCCAAGAGCAAAATTATGTTACCTCTCAGCTTTGGTTCTCTTATCTATAAATTGAGAGTCCTTTCTAGTATGGTCTTGCCATGGCAAGCAGGTGTGGTAAAAAAGAATATACAGGCTTCAAAGTCAAAGATCTGGATTTGAATCGTGGCTCTACCAATGAACACTCAATTACTGTGACTGGGAACTGACTACCAAAACTCTTCATGTCCTCAATTTACTCATTACAAATGTAAGTAACAGGTATAACAAGAGATGCCCCACTGAACACATCCCCATCTCTCTGTCATGCTAACCTCCATTTTATTCCAAAACCCTTGTTACTAACTCAATATTTTTTATTTGGTTACTTAATAAATAAGTACATTCTGGATGGGTGTGGTGGCTCACGCCTGTAATCCTAGCACTTTGGAAGGCCAAGGCAGGCAGATCACCTGAGGTCAGGAGTTCAAGACCAGCCTGACCAACATGGTGAAACCCTGTCTTTACTAAAAATACAAAAAGTAGCCGGGCATAGTGGTTCATGCCTGTACTCCCAGCTACTCAGGGAGGCTGAGGCAGGAGAATCACTTGAACCCAGAAGGCAGAGGTTGCAGTAAGCCAATATCATGCGACTGCACTCCAGCCTGGGTGACAAAGCGAGACTCCATCTCAAAAAATAATAAATAAATAAGTACACTCCATGAGAGCAGGAATGTCGTATGTCTTGTTCACTGATGTATTCGCAGCCATTAGAACATGCCAAAAATGGCTAGGTGCAGTGGCCCACGCCTGTAATCCCAGCACTTAGGTAGATGGATCACCTGAGCTCAGAATTTGTGACCAGACTGGGCAACATGGCAATACCCTGTCTCTCTTAAATTACATAAATTAGCCAGGCATGGTGGCAGATGCCTATAATCCCGGCTACTTGGGAGGCTGAGGCAAGAGAATCACTTGAACCCAGGAGGTGGAAGTTGCAGTGAGCTGAGATTACGCCATGGCATTCCAGCCTGGACAACAGAGTGAGACTCCATCTCCAAAAAAATAAAAAAGAACAACACCAGGAATGTAACAGGTGCTCATACCATTTTTCTTGAATGCATCCGTGCACTATAAAGGTGTAGTTTAAGTACCTACAATTTATCCTGCACCTAGAAGTTCTTTTGGTAACATGAGAGTTATTTTCTAGCTAGTCTATTGGTACAAATATCTGGACCCTAGCCTTCAAAGATTTCAGTAAATGATGGAATTGGTATAGCAATCTAAAATGTTCAGGATTAGAACCAACCATTAGAACAAACCAAAGCAAGACTAGGAAATTAAACTCTCATAAAATTACTCACACCTTTTATAAACAAGTTTTAGCTCCTTCCAGTCAATAAAACTGCTTGTCCTATGACCACGGGAGAGAATAATCTGAACAATTTCCCTGGTGATCTTCTTCTTCTCTTTGTCAGGGAGAGTGATGTACCATTTCTGCAGCCGTAATTTCCCTTGTCGACTGAAGAGCAATATGAAATGTATCTAGAACAAACAAAGAACACAGAAAACAGAACCTGGTCAACCAAGTCATTCTACCATTTTGCTTAGACACTGAAATTCAGTGGATGAGTTACAAAGAAATATCATTCTGAACAGATGAAAAAATACTTACCAGCATGAAAACTAGCTCATCCAACAAAGCGTATTGAACCCATCAGAGAAAAAAGAAATGTATAAATCACAAACATAGCTTACTTTTATTATAGGATAAGTTTTTTATTTTAATTCTTTTTTTTTTTTTTTTTTTTTTTTTTTTTTTTTTTTTTTTTTTTTGAGACAGGGTCCTGCTCTGCTGCCCAGGCTGCAGTGCAGTGGCATGATCTCGGCTTACTGCAATCTCTGCCTCCTGGGTTCAAGCAATTCTCCTGCCTCAGCCTCCCAAGTAGCTGAGATTACAGGTACGTCCCACCACTCCTGGTTAATTTTTGTATTTTTAGTAGAGACGGGGTTTTTCCATGTTGGCCAGGAATATCTCGAACTCCTGACCTCAGGTGATCTGCCCGCCTCGGCCTCCCAAAGTGCTGGGCTTACAAGCATAAGCCACCATACCCGGCTTTATTTTCATTCTTTTTAAATGTTATAAACACATATAGGGAAAAATACATCCAGAAAGTAATAGTACTTCTGTTTTGAAAACATTAATTTCTTCCTTCACAAGAAAAATAAAATTTTAAGAATAGAAGGGTTTACTTTAAAAATTACTTCCCAGCACCATATTCAACTACAGAAACATAATGATAATACAGAAATAAAGGGGAGAAGGAAAGGAAGTGAGGCTGAAGCAAGGGGAAAGAGAAAGTGAGAAGGGAACCATGTTCTGCCTTAAATGTAAGCTCCTTTTTGTTTGTTTGTTTTTGAGACAGAGTCTTGCTTTGCCGCCCCCCGCCCCCCAGGTTCAAACGATTTTCACGCCTCAGCCTCCCAAGTAGCAGAGATTACATGTGCACACACCATGCTCAGCTAATTTTTTGTGTGTTTTTAGTAAAGACGGGGTTGACCCATGTTGGGCAGGCTGGTCTCAAACTCCTGGTCTCAAGTGATCGGCCCACCTCAGCCTCCCAAAATGCTGGGATTGCAGGCATGAGCCACTGCACCCACCCTTAAACGTAAGCTCTTTTCTCCGCTTTGCAGGTTACTTGGCTGAGAGCTTTAGAATCAACCACCTCAAGTTAAAATTGCCTTTGGCATCACCGTTTACATAGTGTATTGGCTACACTAGGAAACAACCTGATTTTATTTTCAAATAAGTTTCGAAAAGTATATTTGAAATGAAGGTAATGAATTTTAAAAGCTTTAAGTAAGCAGAATACATTGGAACATCTGGAAATTTACTTCAGAACCCAGAAGGGACAGCGCCCAGTGGCTCACACCTGTAATACCAACACTTTTGGAGGCCAAGGTGGTATAATCACTTGAGCCCTAAAGTTTGAGCTGAGCCAAGCCTAGGCAACACAGTGAGACCCCATCTCTAAATTTTGTAAGGCTCTGTTAGAGTGGTTTTTTTAAAAAAAAGAAATTTAAAAAAAATCCTTGGAGGTAGGTATATTTAATTTTTGGAACTTGTCAGATGGCCTAATCTTTATTTTATGAGAACTGTTTTCTCAATCCATGGTATCAGAAGATCAGGTTTAGAAACATAATTTATTGTATTCAGTTTTTGTTTTGTTTTGTTTTTTTAAAGTGCATTGTTTCAGTTAATTGTGTCATGAAGGAAATTATATATACTGAGAACAAAAAGTTATTAGATTTTAATAAAACATTTTACATATAAAAGATTCTACTCTGTTAAAAAGTAAATGTCACAACATAAACCATTACAACTCACTAGGTGGCAACATCTGAGAGTCAAATGAAACCATGCTTTTTACTCTGATCTCCCCCTAACTGCACCCACCTAGAATTTGAGGTCTCTTGGAGTGCAGTGGCATGATCATAGCTCACTGCAGCCTCAACCTCCCAGGCTCAGGTGATCCTCCCACCTCAGCCTCCCCAGTAGCTGAGACCACAGGCACGCACCACAACGCCTGGCTAATATTTTTTTTATTTTTTATTTTTGTAGAGATGAGGTCTCCCTATGTTGTCCAGACTTGTCTCAATCTCAAGCCTACAGAATATGAGGTCTTCTTTTGGAGTGCAGTGACATGATCATAGGTCACCGCAGCCTCAACCTCCCAGGCTCAAGTGATCCCCCCCTCGCCTTGGCCTCCCAAAGTTCTGGGATTATAAGTATGTGCCACCATGCCCAGCTAATACTTTTTAAATTTTGTTGTAGAAACAAGGTCTCCCTATGTTGCCCAGACTGGTCTCGAACTCCTAGCCTCAAGCAATTCTCCTGCCTCGGTCTCCCAGAGTGTTGTGATTACAGGCATGAGCCACCAAGACCAGCTTGAGGTTCTTAATAGTTCATTATTTTTTTCCTGGTAACTACAGATTAGTTTTTTAATAATTTCAATTTCTGTGTTAGATTCAGGGAGTGTATGTGTGATTTTTGTCACATGGGTATATTGCGTGATGCTGAGGTTTTGGGTACAACTGATCCTGTCAAACCAGGCACTGAGTATAGTACCTAAGTCAGTTTCTCAGCCCTGCCCCCGCCCCCTTCTTCCCCATCTAGTAGTTCCCAGTGTGTATTGTTGCCATTTTTACAGCCATAACCATCCAGTGTTTAGCTCCCACTTGTGAGAACATGCACTATTTGGTTTTCTGTTCCTGTGTTAATTCACTTAGGATAATAACCTCCAGCTGCACCCATGCTGCTGCAAAGGACAAGATTTTGTTCTTTTTTATGCTGTGTAGTATTCTGTGGAATATATGTATATTGCCATGTTTTCTTTATCCATTCCACCACTGACAGACATGTAGGTTTATTCCATGTCTTTCTATTGTGAATAGTGAATAGGTAATCTTAGAAAAGCAACATCCATTATAACAATGATATGAGGACCAAGACATCACAGTTGATGAAAAACCAAGTTGAAAAGCCCTCCTCATCAGCAGCTTTAAGAAAAATCACCTTTATTAGCATTTTCTTGAATACCTGTTCCACTATAACACAGGTATAAACAATTCAATAATCTTGGCCAGGTGTGGTGGCTTATGCCTGTAATCCTATAATGTTGGAAGGCTGAGGAAGGAGGATTGCTTGAGTCCAGGAGTTTGAGAGCAGCCTGAGCAACAGAGCAAGATCCCATCTCTATTTGAAATAATAATAATCAAATTCGATAATCAAACACAGTTACTACCTTCTGATAACTGTATTGAGAAGGGTATTTTTGCTTCCAAGAAGATATCAATAAAGTGATTGATACTCTAAGAGCATAAAATTGAATGATTATAGGATCTCAAAAGAATAAGGCTCAGCATTGCATCATCACAGTGTGTAAGATTATTCAATCCAATGCCTAGTGAATAGTCAGATTTTTACTAGGTAAATGAAGTCCACACATTTGCTTGGCTGTTTACTTGCATTTTCTGCTAGAAATTTTTCTTCTTCCATCTAACCTAAATCTCTTCTGTTTTAATTTAAACCAGTTTTCCCTGATTTTATCCACAGATTATATAAAAAGAGAATGTATCAAGTATCTTTGGAAGAAAAACTAACTTCACAGATTTGGAGATAGCCTTTAAGTCTTCTTTTTTTTTTTTTTTTTTTTTTTTTCTTTTTGAAACAGAGTCTCACTCTGCTGCTCAGGCTGGAGTGCAGTGGTGCCATCTCAGCATCTCAGCTCACTGCAACCCCCACTTCCCAGGTTCAAGTGATTCTCCTACCTCAGCCTCCCAGCATAGCTAGGATTACAAACAGCCGCCACCATGCCTGGCTAATTTTTGTATTTTTAGTAGAGACAGGGTTTTGCCATGTTGGCCAGGCTGGTCTCGAACTCCTGACCTCTGGCGATCAGCCCGCCTCGGCCTCCCAAAGTGCTGGGATTACAGCCATGAGCCACTGTGCCCTGCCGTCTTTAAGTCTTCTTTTAGCATTTTCCTTCCGGAGGAAATAAACCAGGTCTTATGTTTTCTCTTTATTGGTTCTATTTTCAGATCTCATAATCATCATTGTTGAGCATCCTCTGGGAATTCTCCATAGGCCAAATGTTACTTTTAATCCAGGGCACCTAGATCAACCTTGGAAGTTCTATTGAGAGGTGTAACTATTGCTGGGTTTAATGCTGGATGCTTTGCTAGTTGCTCTGTGATGCAAACTTATCTGAGGATCAGATGCCTGCCTTCTTAAACAAGGATCAACAGTGTAGAACAATGAACAAAGAGCAATGTTTCATTCTTACAAATTCAAGAAGAAAGGATGATCAGGAACATAATACACCCAGTAAGCCCATATAAAACGCAACTATGCATTCCAGAGTCAAAAACAGCAATAACTAGATTCAAGCATATCCAATAATTGCACTGCATGAGACAGCGTTCAAAAATTTAGACCTCTCAAGTTCTCCTTTGCTTGAGAACTGGGCTTGTGTTGAGTCTGTTACCTCTTTAGATTTAATGAGGTACCTTGAACAGACTGGTGGAATGGATTGTAATGATTCACAAGACTTCATCACCTCCAGCAATTAATTTTATCCAGTTTATCAGTTTAGTCATTCAGGGCACATTTGAATAATACTTTTCAAAAGGTTAATGAAAAAAATACCATTTTTGATTAGGATTCGCTTGAGAGTAGAAAAAAAGGACCTGGGAAGAGTTTTTCAATATTTGCCAAGAGCCAACTTAAATGCAAGTCGATGTCATAAACAAGTTCATCTGACTTCAGAAAATGACACTCTAGCATTCTCTTTCAATAATATTATTGGGACAAAAGGAATAATGAAGGGACTCTCCCGGGAGACCCCAACTTCAGCAACAGCTGTAACATCCAATGAAGCATGGTGACTTCTTATACTTGGCCCAAATGCTTGGCACAACATGGGCACCTATTTCCACCAAGACCTCCATCCATCCACACCTCCAAAGGGGCCACTTCTGTCAGC